CTCAGACACTTACTAACTGTGTGACCCTGGGCAAGTCACTTAGCCCTGTTTGCCTCAGTTTATTTCACCATCTGTGAAATGATCTGGAGAATGGCAAACCATTCCAATATCTTTGCCAAGAAAACCCCAAATGAGATCACAAAGAGTCAGACATGACTGAAAAATGATTGAATGCTATATGCCAGGCACTGTGCAAAGTGCTAGGGATTAAAAAAAAGGCAAAACCACAATCCATGCCTTCAAGGAGCTCACAATCTAATGAAAGAGACAAGCAAACAAGTAAGTACAAACAAGCAGTATACAGGATAAATAGAAAATAAGAGAGGGAGGGTGCTAGAATTAACAGGGATTGGTATAGCCTTCTTGTAGAATATGGGATTTTAGCTGAGACTTCAAGGAAGCCAGAAGAAAGAAATGAGGGGGGAGGGATTTCCAGGCATGGGAGACAGTCCAAGAAAATGCCTGGAGCCTAGAGATGGAGTGGCTTGTTCGTGGAACAGCTAGGAGGCCACCATCACTGCATCTAAGAATAGATGATGGGAAGTAAGGTATAAGAAGACTGGAAAGGCTGGGGGGAGTAGGAGGTAGCTAGATTAGGAAAGTCTTTGAACACCAAACAGAAGATTTTATATTTGACCCTGGAGGTGAGAGGGAGCCACTGGAATTTAACGAGTAGTGAGGGTGAGAAAGGTACAGTGAAAAAAAAAAAGTGATCGATCTTGAGTCAGCAGGGACATGAGTTCCAATCCTAATTCTAACAACAACCAGTTCAATGATTTTGTAATGGATTTGGAATCAAAGAACCTGTGTTCAAATCCCAGATCCTACCTATGTGATCTTGGGCAGATAATTTCTCCTTGATCTATAAAATGAGAGGGTTAGACTAGACCAAGGTCTTTTCAGGCTCTAAAATATCTGTGATCTCTGACTCACACATGTTATTTAACTTCTCTGAAACTCAGTTTCCTCATCGGTACATTGAGGGGTAAGACCACCTATGGTACTTATCTCATAAGGTTATTGCGTTACCAAACAAATAACATACAGAATGTCCCAAAAGTCTTTGTGAACTAAGGCTTTGGGAACAACTTGCACATAAAATGGCTTACAAACTTTAGAGTTCTAGCAATGTTAGCTATTAATAGTTACTACTATCTCACAGGGTTGTTATGAAGAAGGTACCTTGTAAATGTATAAATGCTATAGAAATACGAATTACTGTCATGAAGTATACAATAAATGAATGCTCTGTGGTATAATTCCTTTTTCTGATGAGCAGAGAGAGATTTTCTGTGGACATTTTGAAGTTTGGGAAGTTAGGCTTAGGCTATTTTGGGAAATGTCCCCCCCACACTTTTTTAACCTCCAGAGAGTGCCCTTCACAGTCACTCACTTTAGTTTTTTTTTTAAGACATTGAAAAATAGCTTCTGTTCAGTTTCAAGCTGCTTCCATGTGTAAAAACAAAAACGACCGTCTTAGGTCGTTCAGATCATGCCAGGGGGCACCTGATGACCAGTAAAATAAGTTGATAGGGTAAAAAATAGTTAAAATTTAACAGGCATAACAAAGACTGTTCATAAAGATATAAAATGTACCAGGGGAAAAAAAAACAACAAAAATCCAATATTTTATTCCATCTGCTATAATGATAAACCCAACCAAAATCACTGGTTTTACACAATATTGTTGCTTTACTGTGTTCTTGACCAATTAACAAACTAAGCTAAAAGGGTTCAAGGCATATCTGTGTACGTACACACACACACACACACACACACACACACACACACACACACACAGAATGCATTGAATATCCTGTAGTCAGTATGATAGTTCACATTTATATAGCACTTTCAAATTACATTCCCTCATTTCATCCTTCAAACAATCCTGAGAAAGAGTGAGTGCAAGTTTTAATATCTCTCCATTTAACAGGCAAGGAAATTGAAGCTCAGAACAAATTAAAGTGACTTGCTCAAGGTTAACAAATGGCAGGGCCAGGATTGGAGAACTCAGGTCTTGTGACTTCAAACTCTTTTAGGATGCTGAGACAACAGATCTAGAACTGGAAGGGTCATGTAGTTCAATACCTTTGTTTTACATATGAAGAAATTGAGATGCAGAGTGCCTAAATCATTTGTCCAAGGTTAAGTAAGTGGTTGGAGGCAGAGTTGAAGTCCAAACTGAGTGCTCCTTCCAAAGCATCGTGGTGCCTGCTATATCAATACAACTTTAGTTTCAACAGCAGAGATGGCCCTGGGCAGCACTTTAAAGGAATATTAGTTCCTTCCAAAGTCCTCTTTCTATAGCTTTCTCTCCATAGGTGAAATACCTTCTACTCATTTGGCTGCCCCAAACTCCTTACTGCAAAGCACTTCTGAGGTCCACTTTCCTTAATCAGCACTCAGCCCTCTAAAACCATCCCTCTCTCTCCTCCTCCCTTGATACAGTCATTGTCGGAATCTTTTTCACTTATACAGCTATTTTCAAGAACCAAGGTCTACCACAACCAATATCCTTGAAGAATATATGTAAAAAATTAAATTACATTAAGTTGTTAAAGACTGACAACAGCTTTATAGATGGTTCCTCCCCTGGATTTACAGTTTACTTTAAGGCAATCCAAAGGAATGAATCTCTAAAGGTAGACTGACTTAAGAGACAATATAGCTACCAGATGGGACATATGTTTAAGGAGTTAGGTCACTCCTACTCAAGAGTATTTCAATGTTCAGAAAAATGCTTTCCCATTAGGGCGCAGGAGTGTCAAGCCCCATGAATTTTGCTTTATTCAAAAGGGGGGTGGATAGATAGGAGGAACAGAGAAAATAAAATAAAAAAATGACAACTTTAAGGAAAGCAAAAATTGGCCTAAATAATAAGAACAGATAGATTTGCAATGCATATGCATCTCTTTGCCTGATTAGACAGGTGTTTTTAAAAGGAGTGGGATGAGTACTTGTAAATGACAGTGCTCCCAAGGCATCATTTATGTTAGTCAAATTTTACTCACAAGATAAATTAGTATATTCTCCCATAAGCTAAGTCAGGGAATTAAGCTCTGAAAGAACCAATGGAGCAAAAGCTCAGAAAGTCCACCTAGAACAACCCTGCCTGATGCTGGAAATGTTTGCCTCAAATAGCCCCCATATACCCAAATAGTGCTTTGCACTCAGTGGGCTCCTGGTAAATATATCTTGATTTGATCTGCTTTGAATATGAAACTCATATACTGTGCAAAACATGAGCTAACTGGGTCCAGGAATTGGTAATGTTTGATACAATGGCTTTGAGGTAAAGATGGTCAATAGGGTCTGAAATCCTGCCAAGTATCCACCACCACTGGAGAGCTACTGTCAATGAGCTTCTCCCTCAAGCATATTTCCAAGCCCTGTGAATTTCTAACTTCATAATACCCTCAAGCTGGGGCTGTTTAGCAAGTCAGCATGAAGTATCTTTTGTCTTTTTTTGTTCCATAATTTTGGATTGGATATAAAATAAGAGGATGAAGTTGCTGGATTATGATATTGCTAACAATATGCTACTTTTCCTAAATGGTGGTTAACCCTCTGATATGTTTAAGTAAAGTCCTGGCTGCAAGCATAGAGGTTTGGGCCAGGTGTCTTCCAAAACCTCTGCTGTTTATTAGCTGTGGGCCCTTAGGCAAGTCACTAAACCTCTCTGAGCATCAGTTTCCTCACCTGTAAAAAGAATATTTGGGCTAGGTGATCTTGAAAATCCTTTCCAGGTCTAAATCCTATGATCACTATGAGTCTTCCAGTACTACAGGAATGGGATGTTGTTTTTATGATTTATGTTATGAGTAAATACCAGGAGTATTTCTTCTTCAGTAAACTGAAATAACAGCAAAGCTTTAAAAAATCTTTGCTATCAAAACCATAAAATGTATGTTTAACCCCTTCTTTACCCCTCTCCTCCCGGGCACTGCAGCCGATGCTTGAACTGCCCAATGCACCTCATCAGAAAAGGTTCAAACCAGCAGACTCCATGAACTCTGGCTTTATTCTTTTGCGGATGAAGAATAGAAACTGTATGCCTTGGAAAATGAATCATTAACTCCAAGTCCAACAGAGCTGCCCTGGAAACCAAAGCGATGTAAGAAAGTGATGGTATCTCTCGGGCAAGTTGAGATTTTCCTGTTCCCTCCTGTGACTTCTAAAGCGAAGCATCCCACAATCCTGGGCTAAGCAGACACAGAACAGTCTAGTTCTTTCACTTTACAAACGTGAAGTTATTTTTAGATGACCCAAGCTAGCTAATTCCCCTCAAGGCAATTTCCCAGCTAGCTCAGCCACCAGGCAACAAGTCGCCCCCTTCCCCAACACTCACATCTTCCTAACCCTAGGCCTGGAGAGGGGTTCTCCTAATTTCTTTTTTCTAGGTGCCCCCACCCCAAGCACCCTTTGTGGGTCCCCAGTTCTGGGTGCATGATTTTCCTTCCTCTACTCCACTTATCCACCTGCTGCTACTGCTTGACCTCAACTACTTGACACAAAACCCATTTTTCGCTAAAGCGGAATTCTTGCGACCGGGCTCATTCTAACTCTCACCGCCACGGAGATGCAGCCCATGGGGTCCCCGAGGAAACGCCTCAGTTGGAGTGAAGGAGGAGAGGGGAAAGGAGGGAAACACCTCCAGTACGCACTGCTGCCCACCGCCCAACTAAACACAGCGGGTGCTGTCCCTCGCCATCTCTCCTTCCCGTCCCAACATACACAATGGACCCTTCCCCCACTTCCACCCTTCTCCCCTCAAAACAAACAAACAAAAAACCAACAAAACAAAACAAAAAAAAAAACAACAAAACAAAACAAAAACAAAAACAAAAAACTGGGAAGGCGTTCACTCCCAGACCTAACCACCCCCCAACCTTACGGGACCAGGGAGGACAGAGTGCTCTCCCCCACCTTCCCCGCCGCCGTTCAGGCGCATGTGTTAGGTGGGGTGATCCAGGGACTGGCGCTGTTATGTAACTGACCTGCCGAGTGTCCGAGATGCCCCCGAGGAGGGCAGCGGGTCGGGGTCCGAAGGGTGGCTCGGTTCAGTTGGGCTGAGCAGGGCAGGGCAATCTGCAGTTGCCCCAGACGCAGCGAAATGGATGGTGGGCGTCGGGCTCCTCAGGACCCTGCTCAGGGTCTTCCTCACCTGCCCCTGCTGATGTGTGTCCGAGTGTGTGGAAGTGTGCAAATGGGTGTGAGTGCCGGTGGTGAGGAGGTGTGTTTAAAGAGTGTCCACAGCGCCCAACCTGCCTTCTTGGCCCGCAGCAACTGAAAGGCTGCTTAGCTCTCTTCCTCGCTCTCCCTCCTCCCTCCCTCTCTCTTCTTCTTTCTCCCTCCCTTCCCCCCCCCCCCCCCCCCCCCCCCCCACCCGCCCCAACCTCCACTGCTGTCACCCGGGACAAAGCTGTTCCAGGGAGGGGCACAGCAGGACACAGAGGAGCCGCGATGAGTTTCAACTCATCAAGCCAACCTCCAATCGTACCGAAGGAAATCCAAAGCTTCAGGGCTCTGCTTTCCTTTCGGTCTCCCCACTTCTACCACCTTTACTTTTTTCTCCCCCTCCCCACACACCCTACAACTTCCAATCCACTCCCAGTACCACACCCTCAACATGCCGGTGCATCCAGTACCCAACCCAAATAGCCCTACCCCTATCCTATCCCCCCTCAGAGACCCTCAACTTTCTGTTGCCCTATATTGCCCCTGCAAAAGATGCAGAAAAGATTTGTTACAGAGAAGATAGGGCTATGGCTTGAATGACAACAAATGAGAGTGGGGAGGGAGAGTGATGGTTTTGGTTAATAACAAAGGTCTAGATGGAGGACAGGTAGTGGCGAAGAGAAGTAGTTGGATATTAGTTAAGAAAGAAAGCAAAGGCTTGAAAAGGTAAAGTGATAAAGAGGTATACAGAGCCTGTGACTGTTTATGACAGACAGATAAAATGATTGAGATAGAGTTATGACTAAGTGAGAAGCAATAAGGGAGCTCTGAGGAATCGTGTGTTACAAAAAAAAAGGTGAAATTGACTAGAGAGGGGTTTTAAGGTATAAAATAAAGGGGAGAGAGAGAGAGAGAGAGAGAGAGAGAGAGAGAGAGAGAGAGAGAGTTTTAATCCACACTGAAGGAGATCCATAGAGATTTAGAACTGGAAGGGATCTTCTCTATCAGGGGTTCTTAACCTTTCTTGGACCTTGGACCCTTTTGGCAGTTCGGTAAAACCTACAAACTTCTCAGAATAATGATTTGTTTCCTATATTTATAATTTAAGGAACTGTTAAATTTCTGTTAGAAGTTAATGTGAATAAAGATGTAATTTTTCCCAATCCCATTTCACAGAGCCCTCTGAAATCTACTAATGAATCCCTTATGGGTCTATGGAAACCAGGTTAAGGACCTTTGCTTTAGATCATTTAATCCAATATCTTTCATTCATTTAATGAGCATTATTAAGCACCTGATGTATACTAGCACTTTGCTGGGGGTAGGGCAAGGAAGGAGAGGAAAACTTGGACAAAAACAAAAGATTCCCTGACTTCAAGTAGTTTGCACTCTGCTGGGGGAAAAGAAAATGCACCTAGATAAGTTTGTACACAATACATAAAGAGTAGATGAAGGCTTCTGGGTCATGTGACCAATATAACTTTTTCCAGTCCTCAGATCTCCCAAACTTCTTCAAAATATGAATTATTCACAATTGTAAAGCAATTACACCAAGATTCCTAACGAAGTGACAACCTGTTCAACTAACTACAGAGAAGGCTAATCCCAAATCCTGAACAAACTAAATCAACAACACTGTCAACACCATCCCTTATACTCTGGCAGGACAGCACAAGATCCAAATAGCTGTGCTCTGGGATCCACTCTGGGATCCCTATACTGCTCCAGTACTCTCTACCAGTACACTTTTAACCTTGTCCTCAACTTCCCCTTCTGAGTCAAAAAGCACCAGAATTCAACTCTGTTCCCTGCCACATCTTGTATGGAAGAAGTAGAGGTATAGGAAGACAGGTGGCTCGCTTGGGGTGGCAGCCAGACAGTATGCTGTGCTGTACCAATGATAAGCCAGAGAACTAATGAAGAGAGGGGACTGGGGAAGGGTACCAGTGCTGGGATGCAGATGAGGGGAACTCCAGCAGGCAGGAAAGGGGACTGGCATTCTCCTGAGGTCAGTTTTGTTCATCTTTCCATCCCTCTTAAAGTCACTCGGGGCACAGAGTAAGGCCAGTGGAAAGCAAATTTTCCAAATTAGGAGGAGGCTGAAACAGCTTTGAGGTCTAGCCCCTAGGGGAAAAGTGAGTGAAAGTAGATTATAAGGAAAAGAGACAGTTATTACTAAAGATTCAAAAGAAAGAAAACTCAAAGCATAAGCAGATGAACAGGCAAGAAATATATTTATAAGAGAAGAGAAGATGCCCTCTAGGACATCTAAATAACTCCAAATATCTCTGAATCTATGTTGCAAAAGAAAGGAAAATGAATCAATACTTAATGAGATAAAGAAGCGAGTGGATTCTCAAGAGGTCATAGAACCACAGCAGGATATTCTTGAATGGTTTAAGAAAGAAGTAAGAATTGCAAAATCAGAATTTATGACCATAGCAGAAATAATCAACAGAATACAAAAACTTGAATCCATAGTGGCAAACCTCACCAAAGAAACCAGAGAGTAAGCAATGGATTATGAATACAAATACATGGAAGTTTTTCTATGAGATCAATCTGGAAGAAGAGAAGCAAAAAAGCAATAATGTTAAAAGAAAATATGAGCTTTATACAAGCAAAATATATTGACCTTGAGGATATTATGCATAAGAACAAACCACAGGTTATAGGTCTTCCAGAAGAACATGACAAGTCAAAAAACCTGAATACCACAATGTAAGAAATAATGCAAGAGAAAACTACTTAGAACTTCTGAATGCAGAAAACAAGATGTCAATGAAAATAATTTGCAAATTGCCTCCAGAAAAAAACCAAAAAGAAAAAAAAAAACCTCTACACATCAAACTTAGACACATAGTGGTTAAAGTTAACAATTGCAATGACAAAAAACACATTCTTCAAGTGAACAAGAGAAAGAAGTACAAATATAAAGGAAAGGACATTCAAATAATGATAACAGAAGACTACTCTAAATCTACTAGAAACTGCTGAAGGAAACAGAATAAGATCTTCCTTTTTTTTTTTTTTGTTGGTGAGGTAATTGGAGTTGAGTGACTTGTGCAGGGTCACACAGGTAGTAAGTGTCAAGTGTCTGAGGCCATATTTGAACTCAGGTCTTCCTGACTCCAAGGCCAGAGCTCTATCCACTGCACCACCTAGCTGCTCCCAGAAGTAAATCTTCCAAAGAGCAAAGTAGTTCAAGATGTAACCTAAGGTTACATGCTCTGCAAAACCAGAGCCTAAGCATCAGTGAAAAACAATAGACATTCAATAAGAGAATCATTTGAAACATTCCTACAAAGAACACCAGATGTGAGCAAACTTTTCACTTTGTAAATACCTCAGACAACAGAAACACAAGAAAGGTTAAAAAAAAGTACAGCAACTAAGGCACAAATAATGAAATTAATTAACTCAGAAAAAATGGAGAAGGGGAGAACAAGAAACAGAAAGACACTTATGTAGTAAAAAACAAAACAAAACAAACAAAAAAACCCCAAAAGGATTATTAAACCATTTTTTTCTAAAAGTGCACAAGGAAACGAAGTTGAAGAAATAATGGTGGAGGTTTCAGGCTTGAAACACCAGGGATTAAACCTCATAATACCCCACCTACAGATGAATCAATAGTTTGGATCTTGCGGGGTAGGGGAGAATAAAACTGAAGAATGAGAGAGAATATAAAAGGAAAGAGGGAAAGAAGAAGAAAACAATATGGAATGTACCCTAATCAAGTCAATGGGGAAAATGATGGAAAAATAAGGTCTATAGTCCCTGCTAGAGAATGGGTGAAGTTGCAAAGGGAGGGATTGAAATAGGTGGAAAGAAAGGAGAAAATCTTGATTCAGTAGTGGGAAGTAGTAACATTGAAGAACACTCCCACTGGAGACGTGAGATTCTATAATGACATACGGGGATCTTATAATGAGTAAAATCTGCAGGAATTTCATATTTAGAGAGATCACTATCTCTGGTAGAATGTTAAGCCCCCATGGACGGCAGCCTTCCTCAGAAGGGCATCAGTGCTTCTGGGGCAAAAATCATTCAGAAGGGTGGGAGGGAGTGAGATTTCATGGCAAATGGAGGGAAAAAAAATGATCGTGGGGACAACAGGAGGTAGTAAAGAATGGTCAGTCAGGGACCCAGGAAAATCTCTGCCATGGGGCTGCTTGTGCTTTGAATTTTCCTCCTCCTGAATCTTTAGTAATTTCTATCTTTTTTCCTTATATTCGACTTTCACTCATTTTCCTTCCGCTTTGATGGCAGATTCCCCCAAGGGCTAGGCCTCAAAGCTGTTTCAGCCTCCTCCTAATCTGGGGAATTCACTTTTCACTCTCCTCAGTCAGTGCCCCAAGTAACTTCTGGGGGAATGAGAATAGGACAAAATTTGCCCCAGCTAGATGCCAGTCCCCTTTTCTATTTTTTTTTTATTTTTTCTTTCAAGTAGTTTATTTCTTAAAAATTATTCATTTTTAGTTTTCAACATTCAACATTCCATAAGCTTTTGAGTTTTAAATTTTCTCCCCCTCCCTTTTTCCACTCCCCCCTCCCCAAAACAGAGGGCAATCTGATATGGGCTCTACATACACTTTCATATTAAACATATTTTCACATTAGTCATGTTGTAAAGAAGAATTAGAACCAATGGGAGGAACCATGAGAACAAAGAAACAATACAAAACAAAACAACAAAAAAGAGCAAATAGTATGCTTCGATCTACATTCAGACTCCATAGTTCTTTCTCTGGATGTGGACAGCATTTTCCATCGTGAGACTTTTGGAGATGTCTTAGATCCCTGCATTGCTGAGAAGAGCCAAGTCTGTGAAAGTTAGTCATCACACAATGTGGCTGTTGCTGTGTACAATGTTCTCCTGGTTCCGCTCACTTTATTCAGCATCAGTTCATATAAGTCTTTCCAGGTTTTTCTGAAGTCTGCCTGCATCAGAGCAACTGTTGCTCTTTTTTTTTTATTAATTTATTTTGATTTATCAACAATCACTTCTATAAGCTTTTGAGTTTTAAATTTTTCTCTCCCTCCCTCTTTCCACTCCCCCCTCCCCAAGACAGAGGGCAATCTAATATAGGCTACACA